GGGGCCTTGACTTCCTGGGCGACGGGCCAGCCAGCGCCAACCCTGCCCCGTCGGGCACCCGCACGGCGCCCTCGACTCCGCCATTGAGAGCGGCAGCGCACCCACATGACAACGCCGCTCACTTTCAAGACGCTGACGAACAGGAGGATGACCTGTTCAGCTTCGGTGGGGGATCGGACGCTTTGGACGACGGACCAGCCAGCGAAAACCCTGCCCCGTCGGGCAACCTCTCGATCCCTACTGCGACTCCGTCCCCGAGAGCGACATCGCCCACATACGATGATATCGGCCACCGCCAAGACGCCGACCACGACCTGGGTGACCCCCGCGGACTGAGTGGCATAGAGGACGCACCGCCGATACCCCACGCTGCCGACCATGCCGCCCTACCGAGACGCCAACCTTCTACGCGACCGACCTCAGAGCCCTTGCACGGCATCATGATTGGTCCCACCGCGCAAACCACTCCGCCCCCCCACCGGCGGCAGCCCGCGGGGGCGGCTTCAGCCCCCCCGCAGGGCACTAAACCAGACAGGCCCTCGTGCCCCGTCCACGCTTCCATCGTTGCTGAGCGAGAGGAAGCGGCTCTCCCGACCTCTCGGGGCGTGGCCCTAGCGGCTCCAGCCCTGGGGTCGCGTGTGCCCCTCCAGTCACCCTTCAAGGGTGACGGACGACAGCGTACAGGGTGCCGCACTACGCTAGTCCACCATTTGGACAGGCGTACCGAGGACCTCGCCTCTGTCTCGAGGCTCTCGGCCGCTGGCACTGAGCAGCCACCCCTCACCGACCGCGAAACCGAGCTGTCCCAGGCTATGGCTGCTCTCCAGCAGAGGTGCGTTGCTCTCGCCGCGGACCTCGCCGCCGCCCAAGCTCGCCAAGGCCCTCTACTCCAGCGCCTTCACAGCGCTGGGCGAGCCTTTGCCGAGCTGCTCACGGCCTCGCCCGATGGTGCCGTGCCGTCACTCACCATCCAAGCTATGCTGTCATCGTTCCGCGGCGCTCCACCTGGTGCCCCGCGCTAATCTCCTCCTTTCTGCCTGCCCGTGTGTACGCGTGGCTCCGCGTCCACGGTGTCAGGGCGTGGGGGCGGGGGGTGCCCCGTCACTGCGCGCCGCTTAGCGGCCAAGCGCCCAACTGGCGGTCTGCCAAGCCGCCTAGCCACGTGTCAGCACGTCGCCTTTCTTGTTGGGGCCTCTTTCCTTACGCGGTCTGACAGGTGAGATCATCATCGTCTGTCCGCCGTCTGTAGCGTCTGTCGCACTGCGCCGGGGGAGGGGGTTTTTTGTTGCCCGCCCTCGTATCTAAAGGCTGCACCGCCGCAAATAGTGCATGCGAGTTGTCGCACCGCAGTGCGCCTCGCGGACGGACCCTGGTCCGCCTACTTGTCCGATCTCTCTCTCTCTCTCTCTCTCTCTCTCTCTCTCTCTCTCTCTCTCTCTCTCTCTCTCTCTCTCTCTCTCTCTCTCTCTCTCTCTCTCTCTCTCTCTCTCTTTCTCTCTTTCTCTCTCTCTCTCTTTCTCTCTCTCTTTTTCTCTCTCTCTCTCTCTCTCTCTCTCTCTCTCTCTCTCTCTCTCTCTCTCTCTCTCTCTCTCTCTCTCGCGGAGACTCTCGCGCCCCCCCCCCGCCCGTCGCCCCCGGCCGGGCGCCGGCGGGGCGCGCCGTCGAGGCCCGGCCGAATAGCGCGCCAGCCATCCGAGCGGCGACGCAAACAACTCAAAGCCGCCGCTGGGCAGGGCTCGGGGGGCCCGCTCATCGCCGGCCAAACGGCTCGGCTCGACCTGAGACGGCCCCCAAAGGGGGGGGGGAGGGGGGGCGCGGGGTCGAAGGGGGCGGGGGGGCTCTAGGAGGAGGAAGAGGGGGGGGGGGGAGAAGAGGGGGCGGAGGAGGAGGAGGAAGGGGGAGGGGAAGAGGAGGAGGAAGAGGAGGAGGAGGAGGAGGAGGAGGAGGCGGGGGGGGAAGAGGGTGAGGAGGGGGGGGATGAGGAGGAGGAGCGCAGCGCCCCTGGAAGGCCGCCCGCCGCGCACGCGAGCGCTTCGCGGAATGCCTCCTGGCGCCGCCCACTCACGGCGCGGCGCCGTAAGAGCAGGAGGCAATGTAGAAGGGGGCAACCGGAAAAAGTCGCCCTCAAGGCCGCGGGCGCAGGCCAACTTGCCGCCGGCGAAGGAGGCGTCGCCGCCGAAGAAGACGCCGCGCCGCCGGCCGACCACGGAACGGCAGCGAATCACGACAAGCATGAAGGGACCGCACCGAACCGAGAACCGAGAACCGTGACCGAACCGGACCGAACCGGTCCAAAACCAGGAACGTAGAAAACCGAACCGGACCGAACCGAATTCATTCAGAACCGAACCGGCGAGGACCGAACCGAACCAGAACCGGAATCGAACCGGAACCGGGCGGCCCCTGAACCGAACCGACGGGAACCGAACCGAACCCCTCTGGCGGGCTGCGACCCCCCTGGCGGGCTGCGACCCCCCTGGCGGGCGCGACCCCCCTCGCGGGCTGTGACCCCCCTGGCGGGTGCGACCCCCCTCGCGGGTGCGACCCCCCTCGCGGGTGCGACCCCCCTGGCGGGCGCGACCCCCCTCGCGGGTGCAACCCCCCTGGCGGGCGCAACCCCCCTGGCGGGCGCAACCCCCCTGGCGGGTGCAACCCCCCTGGCGGGCGCAACCCCCCTGGCGGGTGCAACCCCCCGGCGGGTGCAACCCCCCTGGCGGGCGCAACCCCCCTGGCGGGTGCAACCCCCCTGGCGGGTGCAACCCCCCTGGCGGGCGCACCCCCCCTGGCGGGCGCAACCCCCCTGGCGGGTGCAACCCCCCTGGCGGGCGCAACCCCCCTGGCGGGTGCAACCCCCCTGGCGGGTGCAACCCCCCTGGCGAGCGCAACCCCCCTGGCGGGTGCGACCCCCCTGGCGGGTGCAACCCCCCTGGCGGGTGCAACCCCCCTGGCGGGTGCAACCCCCCTGGCGGGCGCAACTCCCCTGGCGGGCGCAACCCACCTGGCGGGTGCAACCCCCCTGGCGGGTGCAACCCCCCTCGCGGGCGCGACCCCCCTCGGGGCTGCGACCCCCCTCGGGGCTGCGACCCCCCTGGCGGGTGCAACCCCCCTCGGGGCTGCGACCCCCGTCGGGGCACGTCGCTGGAGGGCCTCGCGCCTCCACGCCTCCACGTTTCTCCTCCTCCTCCCCCTTCTCCTCCTCGTCGTCCTCCTCCTCCTTTTCTTAGCCAGGCCGCCAAGCGCGCACGCTGACCTCCTCCTCCCTCCTCCTCCTCCGCCTCCTCCTCCTCCTCCTCCTCCTCCTCCCCCCTCCCTTTTTTTTTTCAAACTGGGTCGTCGCTTACGCAGACGGGGCGCCCAACGTCGCACCTGACCAGTCGGGCCGAACCGAACCGGAGCGGCCACTCGAACCGAACCGAACCGGTCGGACCCAACCGCGCGAAAACCGGAACCGAACCGAACCGGCGGCAGGCCCAAGCCGAACCGGCCGAAACCGGACCGATGCCAAACCGAACCGGCCAAGCAAAACCGACCCGGCTGCAGAACCGGACCGAACCGAACCGAGCCGACCCCTTCATGGACAAGGTCGATCAACGCGCCGCGTGGCTGCAAGAAGAGCCCCCCTGCGGGGGCGGCGCTGATGGGGCGCGTCCGTCGGGCACGAGGCGCCAGGCCCCTCGACGCGCCAAATCGCATCTTGCTGCTTGCGGCGCGTGGGCTCGTCGGGCGAGAGCCCACCGCACCTCGAGCCAAGCTTCCGCGCTGCGCGGACATCTCCCGCGGCGCAGTGAGACCCGCAGCGCGCGCAACAGCAAACACTGCTGCCCCTGAAGCCAACCGCAGCGAAGGCGCCCCCGACCCCCTCGGCCAGGGCAGGTGGCAACAAGGCTGCGGGGGCCGAGGGCTGCAAGCTCCCTTCGAGCGCCCAGAGCGCGCCCAGGGCCATGCCAGCCCTCTGGTCGCAGCAGAGAACCCAGCCCTCGCCGAAGGCGCGGAAGCACTCGGCATTGAGAGCTCTGGCAACACGCGAAGGGCGACATGCGCGACGAGAGCCAGTCTGCAGCGACTCGAGAGAAGAGCCCGTTGTGGCCGTGACTCCGCCTTGGGCACATCGGCGCCGCCCGAGGCTTGCGCAGTAAACAAAGGCATGGCCCGTGCTGCGTGCCACCGCAGTGGGCCTGGCCTGCTCGCAGGGTGGCCTGGGGACCTCCACGTCGCACCCCCATTGTTTGCGAGCCGCCGCCTGCAGTGCCGCCCGCGAAATGAACTGCAGGACCTTGCGGTGCTGTTTCAGCGCGGCTGCTGCCGCCTCAGCGACCGACCCAGCCAGTGCGTGAGAGGCCGCACCACAGCGCGCGAAGTAGTCTGCCCAGCCGCTGCCTAGCCAGTCACGCAGCTCTTGCGGCTCTGTGCCCATAAGCTCAAAAGACCTGTGCGCTGGCGCCCATCGGAACTTGGGAGGGCCCCACAGAGTGCGCCTGCGGCTGGCCACGAAGATGTCCCGCCACGCTCGAGCATGCTTGGCACGGCCCTGCTCGAGCTCGGGACAAAAACGCTCTCCTTCCTGGGCGAGCGCCAGCAGGTCAGTGACGACGCACTGATGGTCAGGGAAGGCGTCGAGCCCCTCCCTGATCGCGCACCCCTCAGCACGGCCGACAGTCTGCACTAAGTACGGAAGGGGCCCGAACCGCGCCCTAACTGGGAGCCAAGAAAAAGGATCACACTGCACAACAGCTTGTCCACATCTCCGCACCTCAGGGGCACCTGAGTCATAACCGTACCCGTCGGTGTAAGAAACCGGCCCCAAACGCCATGGGCGTCGCCCCAAAGGCAGACAGCATGCCTCCGCGTATCTGCGCGTGGCAGATAAGCGGGAGGCTCGGGCATGCCAAAAACGAGGTAGGACTGCTCGAAGTTCGGCGTGCCTGATCCAAGACCCGCAAAAATAAGTTGGTCGCGCACCTCAGCCAGCACTTAGGGGAGGTGGAAGAGACCGCGGCCATTCAGCGCTGGTGTCGCTGTCTCGGGCAGCCGCGCCCGCGTGGCGCATCGGGCGCCGAGGCTGGAGCCGCCGCCGCGGGGGACAACGGGCCACTCTGCTCCGCAGCAACCAGTGGCGCACAGGGGACAATCTGCGCGTCCAGCCGCGCCTTCTCCCGATGGCCGTCGCGCCCATTGGGTGGCGCAAAGTCGACCTCCTCATCGGCCCCTTGCCAAGTGCCTGGAAAGAAATCGTCCTCGGCCTCCATGGTGCTGGGTCGGGTCGTCAGGGTCGGCAGGGTCGGCAGGGTCGGGTCGGCCCGACTCAAGGTTGTCGCGAGCTTGCCGGCGTAGGTCGCCGTAGCCTTGCTGCATTTCAAGGTTCTGCGCTTGTCGCAGGCCTTGGACGTGGTCCGTCGGCCCCTGCTCCATGGGTCGCAGCTCCCCTTCGGGGGGGGGGGGGGGGGTCAGCAGCGCGGGGCATTCCAAGAAGACATGGCCCCAGCATTCATCGGGAGCAAGAGCCCCCTCGCATGCCTGACAAGGGCGCATGGGCATGCCGAGCTTCATGCCCTTGCGGATCGGCATGGGTAGGTTGTCAGGCCAAAGCGCCTGTGACGCTCCCAGCTGCCGTGCGGCGCGGACACCCTTGACTGCGCACCTGGGCCCGCGGTGCCAGATGGGCGCACTAGCGTGGGAGTGCATGTGGCTGGCGAGGCGGTCGTGCTGCCAGCGCTGCACGCCTTGCACCGAAAACGGACGTAGGTCAGCAGGGCACACGCGGCACAGGTCATACTGGTTGCCCAGGTCGCCCCGAAAGACGTGCGGCGCTTTCATGCCCCAGGCTAGCCGCCTGATCGCCAACTCCGTCGCGGCCAGGGGACCTTTGGCATTGGCCCAACTGATGGGGACAAGCCACTCATGGAGCGCTGTCAAAGCCCTTTGAAGACGGCTATGTGACGCACGCCCATCCCTAATCCAGGCGGCGTAGTTCAAGACCAGGTCCAGCGTGGCATGATAGATGGGATCGTACTCCTCCGAACAGCGAGTAAGGAGGTATGCCGCGACGCCCACGTGGCGCTTGCCACTGCGCCCGTCTAGCACCGAGGCCAAGTTGCGCATCTCACGTAGGGGCGCGTCCGCCAACCCCGACGCTCCAGCGCAGTGCCCTGCGGACGGCATGAGCCCAGTCCGCCACAGGGTGGAGGCCTTGCGCCCTGTCGCGCGACGCAGCATGAGGAGGCGGTGCTTGCGCTCCCGCACGGCCTCCATGCGCTTCTTCTCAACCTTCCTCAGCACTCGAGGGCCACGCACCATCGCAGTGCGCAGCAGCAGCTTGACATCACCGATGCCGGGGGAGACCGTCTGCCGGCCGATGCCGTCCACCAGCGAACGTTGCTACATTTGTCGGCGCAACCCTGCTGGCCTGCTGGAGGACACGGTACGTCAGCAGGTAGATGAGGTAGGTGGCATGTGCGCACCCCGCCGGCACACCCTGAATGGCGACGAAGGAGCACGAGAGGCTGCCGCACGCCTTGATGCGCCGTGGCTGCTGGTAGAGCTGAAGCAACATCCAGAGCAGGCGCATCGGGTAACCCAGCTCCCGTGCCTCTCGCATGAGCGCATGGGGACTCACCATGTCAAAGCATTGCACCATGTCATGGAGGATGGTACAAGTGTGGTCGCCGATGAGGCTCCCCACTTCTTGCTCCAGTCTGTGAACGAAAGCCGAGGCCGTGGATGCGTGGCTGCCTCGAGCGCCCCACATCTCGTCGCAATTATGCTGTCGTTGCCACCCGGCCGACAGCCATCGACGTGCTTTCCTCCGAACTCGTATGAGAGCATGGCTAAGCACAATCAGCCTGTGGCCGCCATCTGGCTGCTTAGGGAGACGGACCATCTCACTATACAGGCGGTCTTAGAGAAACAGTAAGTGCAGCTCAAAGACCTCGATCATCTGGGCCACCCCACTGGGAGCCTCATCCGATAAGTGCTCGAGCGCCATGGGTGGAACGCGGGTGGGCCCCGAGGCGGTGACGAGAGAAAAAAATCGGATGGCCTGCCGTCGGCCATGGGCCGTCAGGCTAGGCAGCTCCACCCACGTAGGTGCATCCGTGGGTAGAGGCAGCTCTTACAGCCCATGGGTCGCCCAGATCCGCTTCCACTCGTCCATGGTGCGGTCCGCGAAGATGTATGGCTGGGCGTCGGCCTCAGGGGAAACGAGTTCTTGCTGCGCCCTGACCTTGGATGCAGCATGGGCACCCTTCGCTCCCCCATTGAAGGCCGCCTGAGCCCAGCTGCGCCAGGCTCTCTCCGACGCGCCGCGAGCCACGGCAGCGAGGTCCTCCGCGCGGCCCACGATGGCACCTACCATGTCATCAAAGCCCTCCACAATCAGCCCGCCCAGCCCGCACAGGAAAAACTGGCGGTAGCGGGGGCCGATGTTGGCTAGGACTTTATCCTGCCCAACAATGGAGCTCAGGAAGCAGAATATGTCGTAGAAAACACCTGCCGTCTTCTGCAGCTGCCTGGGAGCTGGAGACGCATGCGCCGCCGCCGCCGCATTCAACCGGTGACAAAAACGCTGGGCCCGATCACGCTCAGCAGGAAGGTGAGTAGCCCAGCGCGCCGCAGTAGCCCAAGCCCAGACAGCGGTGTCCTGGCATAGCCGCTTGAAAGGTGGCCCCCACCGCAGCTGCCGCCACTTCACCTTAGGGGGGCCGTGGTGCCCGACGAAGCGAATGGCTCCAGGGCCAACTTTGTCGCGCCTGCCTGCGATCTCGTAGTCAATACCCTGCAAAACGGAGTCCCAGAGCTGCCGCAAGACATCATCAGGTGTGCCTGCCTCGCCGACGGCCTGTCCATGGGCCCTGGTCCGACGGCGGCGCCGCTGGCCCGCGCGCCCCGATCGATCGCGCTTAGTTTTGCCGAATGGACAAAAGTGGTAGAAGGACCTGCATCGGTCCCGATCGGGCCTGGACTGGACATGGTCCGTGCCAAGAACCCTGCGCGGCGCGATGGCTGCTCGCGCAAAGAGGCGATCCAAAGTATGTCATGGAAAAGGGAAACGAGCACAGCCAACAGGGGGTACAGCAAGCAGTGGTCGAGGCTCATCGGGGACGCGGCACCGCGCCGGCGTGTCCTTCCCACGCAGCTCCAGACCCACAGGGTAGCGGGGTCTGGGAAGGCTCCCACATCCATGTATCACCTCGGGCTGGCGAGAGACACGGGGCGCGAGGTTGCTGGCCGCCAGGAAGTAGTCGATGGTGGACACTCCGTTGGAGGCGACGCGCGTAGAGGCCGACGGCTGGAGGAGAGTGCCTGCCAAGGACCCAGCCCGGTCGCCAATGTTGATGCTCTGGCCGTCGGCGTTCCAATCGCCCCCGATGATCCAGTCGTGGCCGCATGCGTTCCACGCCGCCACGCGCTTCGCAAGCGCACATGGGATCGAGAGGTCGGCCTCAGCGACGCAAATGCCCTGAACCATGTACGCGCTGACGGCAATCAGAGTGCACGAGCTGCCACAACATGATGTGGAAATACGACATGATCCCAATCGGGGGGCACCGTGACCATCACGCTGGTAGGCGCGAGCACGCCGACCCCACTGGAGCACGACGCCGCGGACGCTCCTCCCGTCTCCTCGGCGAGGGCCCAGAGGCCGTGCCAACCTGCGTCGCGCACGACAGATTGAACGGCCCCAAGCCGCTGGTCGCCCACCAGCGTCTCCTGGACCACCACCACCTTGCCAAGGAAGTTCGGCAGGAAATTGAAAAGTGGCCCGTGAGAGCCAGGGTTGACCGCAACCAGCTTGGCCGCCACCTGACAGCGCGCGTCTCCAGCACCTGGCATGGCCGTGCTGGGGCGCTGCACAAAGGGATCGCGACCCTCTGGCATGCTGGCGCCACTGCCGCCAGCGCGGTATCGAGGCGGTGATTTCCGCCAATTGCGGAGCAGGCCCGCGGACTGGTCAGCCGCAGGATTTGTCCCCCCACCGCTGTCGCGGGCTCCAGCAGAACCCACCTCGAACAATGTGGATAGGCGGCGCCAGAACAGCGCCAACGTCCATCCACGCGGGCGCGCCGCACACGGTGAAGACGCGTGGACTGACTACAGGTTGACGGCGACGGGCTAGAGCAGTGGTGGCCACTGGCAGGAGACACACTGTGCTCTTCGCCCAGCGGAGGCGGGCCCATGCAGCCAGGACGCGACCGAGGAGCAACGTGCACATAGTACGTGCTGCCCTGCGGGCGCCCCTCGTTAATCCTGACATCCCGTGCACGGTACTTCCTGCCAAGAAGGCCCCAGCTGACAGCCCGCGCATGGTGCGTGCTGCCAGTGCACGGGGGGCCACAGCTGACATTCCGTCCATCGGACTTCCTGCCAGTTCTGATGGCCGCACAGCCCGTCACAACAGGCTGGCGCATAGCACCCATCGAATGGTCTGTGCATGGCACGCGCCATTCGTGCAGCCGCGCCGGCAGGCACTGCCCTCAGAAAGGGGCTGATCGAGCCTTCTTCTTCCTCCGGTGCGCCGTAGCCGCATGCGTGAAGGAGTCGAGGAAACGCTTGCACGCCACCTGCATGTCCGCGTCGGTGGCGCCGTCAGGCTGCGCGAGTCCTGCCGCCGCCAACGCCTCCCGCAGCTCGGCGGACTCCATGAGGTCGATGTCGATCTCCATGTCGCCCCTGGCAGCTTCCTCAGCGAGGACCTGCACCTGGCCCGCGAGGAGAACGGCCTTGGACGCAACTCCCCCTCCTTCTCCCCCAACAGGGGTCGCAGGGGCAGGGGCAGCAGAGGGCGCCCGTGCCGCCGGCGGCTTCGCCTGGGGAAGCTTATGGAGCCCCCCGAAGACTTTGGCCGCAGTCTCCAGATACGCCTGAAGGCTGGGGCCCAAGCCGAGCTCCACGGCCAACTCGCCAAGCTGCTGGTCGTTGACAGCGAACTTCGGCAGCAGCTCGTGGAGCGCGGGCTTGCCAGCAGTGGGCGGAGGGGCTCGGTCGGCGCCCAAGCGCTGGACCCCCCCCTCCAGCCGCGAGACTTCGGCTTCGGCCTCGGCCAAGGAGTCCTGGAGCACCGTCTCTTGGCAACCAGCTCGTCGATGACCAGCTGCTTCTTTGCGCGCTCCTCGCGAAGGCGCTTGGCCTTGGCGCGAAAGTTCCGCGGCCTCGTGGCGAGGGAGGTGACCTGATCCTCCAAGGGGCGCTCGGCGTCGAGCTCCTTGCCCATGCGCCCCTTCTCTTCGGTGAGGGACTTAACCTGCGCCAGGTCCGAGGCCACGGAGGATCCATCATATGCCTTAAGGAGCTCATTGATCTTCTTGGTGCGGTCACGCTTGACCTGCTTCTCCGCGGGTCAGCGGTGCCTCCGCTGCCCCCAGCGGGGCCCCCACGGGGGGTGCCCGCTGTCCAATCCGACGCCCGCCCCGGCAGCAGAAGCACTCCCCCCAGCAGTAGCAGCAGCCCAAGGAGGAGGCGACTTGGCGACCGTGAACTTCTTGACCATGGCCTGGGCGTCGGCGAGCTGCTTGGCCATGGATGCCATGCGATGAGACCACCGTTGCGGACAGCGCCCGGGCCTAGGGCAGACCAGGTGGGCGAGGCCATGGCCTCTAGGATCTGAGGTGTCTGGATTCATGCAATGCGAGACATGCAAGAAGTTAGGAGGTGACGGGAAGGAGGAGGAAAAGAAAGTCCTTGGTGTCGGTGTCGGCGCGGGTTGGGCAAGATTTCGTCATTGGTCTGAGTCCCGGGTGCTGGTCGACGTGAGGTCGGTGAAGTGGTGCTCGAGCGCTGTCCATGCTTCGCTGGGCTGTTTGCGTCCATGTGATGTCGTTCGGTTGTCCTTTCGAATGGGCTTGCGTGGGCGGTCGGTGGAGGTCTGGTCTGCGTTAACGTAAGTAAGTGGTGATTTCGTCGTCCCAGCGCTTGTTTTGGCCACCGTGCTGCCTGCGCCCCTGCTGGCGCGGGTTGAGGACTGGGTGCCAGCGCAGCACTCGCCATGTCCACCTCGCCCAGCCGTGGTTTGCGACTCGTGAAGCCATGCGCCAGACTTTCCGTTTGCGCAGCGCCTCCCAACTGTCGATGCGGTGGAACTTCATGAGGTGCTCTGCGCGTCGTGTCGCTCGCTGGATGTAGTCGACCCATGATTACATTTCGTCTGCGGTGGTGCTGTCTTCGCCGTCTTCGCTGTGCTTGTCAGGCGTGTCAGGTGCATCACGCTGTGATGGGTTGCTGTCTGCGTCGTCACTAGTGCTGTTGGTGCGGTATTCGTGGTCTTGTGCTTCGTTGTTCGCGCCGTCGAGATTCGGTTCCTGGCCGCTGTGAGGGCCGGCTTCTTTTGTTGTGCGTCTCCGTGGCGTTCTGATGATCATGCGAAGCATGCGTCGTTGTGTGCGTCGTAGATGCTGCCGTAGAGGCTCCGTGAGGGTCCACGTCTCTGCTCCGTATAACGCTGTTGGTGCTACAGTGCTGTGAAAAGTCGGAGTCGGTGAGCCAGTGGGTAGTGTTTGTTGGTCAACTCCTGCTTACGAGACGTGAACGATGCCCATGCAGGTCGCGTGCGGTAGTGGATTTCCGTTGCCATTGGTTCATGGAAGCTGATGAATTGGCCGAGGT